GGTGGTATAGGGACAGTATCCGCGCGCATGAAACGCTGTCACGGCGTTTTCCACATCGCTCTTTCATCGTATGCGAGCGCCCGTCTCCGATAACGCAGGAGATAGTGACGGCAGGGCACGCCTGATAGCAGGTGAGCGTTAGTTCTAACACTGACTCGCTGTAACAGTACACTGCACGGATATATCGGTAAGACGTATTTATATTGTGCAGTGGTTGGTACAATATTAGTAGTTACGAATTGTATTGTACTATATCGGTAAGACGTATTTATATTGTACTCAGGCAGTGGTTGGTACAATATTAGTAGTTACGAATTGTATTGTACTATATCGGTAAGACGTATTTATATTGTACCCAGGCAGTGGTTGGTACAATATTAGTAGTTACGAATTATATTGTACTCAGGCAGTGGTTGGTACAATATTAGTAGTTACAAATTATATTGTACTCAGGCAGTGGTTGGTACAATATTAGTAGTCACGATTTATATTGTACTATATCGGTAAGACGTATTTATATTGTACTCAGGCAGTGGTTAGTACAATATTAGTAGTTACGAATTATATTGTACTATATCGGTAAGACGTATTTATATTGTACTCAGGCAGTGGTTAGTACAATATTAGTAGTTACGAATTATATTGTACTCAGGCAGTGGTTGGTACAATATTAGTAGTTACGATTTATATTGTACTATATCGGTAAGACGTATTTATATTGTACTCAGGCAGTGGTTGGTACAATATTAGTAGTTACGAATTATATTGTACTCAGGCAGTGGTTGGTACAATATTAGCAGTTACGAATTATATTGTACTCAGGCAGTGGTTGGTACAATATTAGTAGTTACGAATTATATTGTACTCAGGCAGTGGTTGGTACAATATTAGTAGTTACGAATTATATTGTACTCAGGCAGTGGCTGGTACAATATTAGTAGCTACGAATTATATTGTACTCAGGCAGTGGTTGGTACAATATTAGTAGCTACGAATTATATTGTACTCAGGCAGTGGTTGGTACAATATTAGTAGTTACGAATTATATTGTACTCAGGTAGTGGTTGGTACAATATTAGTAGTTACGAATTATATTGTACTCAGGCAGTGGTTGGTACAATATTAGTAGTTACGAATTATATTGTACTCAGGCGGTGGTTGGTACAGTATTAGTAGTTACGAATCCTACAGGAGAAAATATATTAGAAAGTATTTTAGTACATGACCAGGTAAATGTGGGTATGGTATCATCTTTATCTACAAATAGTACATAACTGTATATTTGAAACATTTGAAATCATCCCTTGATTTAGGGGGTTTATGACTCTGTTAAAGGTTAACGCATTTATAATGATATTTTCATATTACGAGGCCGTTAGCGCTGGGGTTTACTGAGCGCAACTAAATTTTACATCCTCGATCATAGTCACTCGGGCGTATTTTATGGATAACTTTTGTTTATTATTCAAGGACAATGGGTATATCAATAGTTTTCTTTATTAAGAATACGCAGTAGTGGTAATTGTATTTGCTAGAAGACGGCAAGTTTATTAGATTTCATACCATGAAAAATTATTCAGCTAACCCGTCTTAAACGTTAACCCGGAGAACTGCACAGCCTGATAATAATTATATTATTCATCATTACTTGTTTTTATTGGAAGGTGCACGAGCCCAACCGGAAAATTCCCCATTAAGTAGCCTTAAAAGATGATTATTCGGACAACAACAATTTTACGGGATGGACGTCACATAACGTAAAACCAGCGCTGGTCCAGTTATTTTCCATACAGAAATCTTAGACCCCCACCATACTATCAATTATTCATTAAAGCTTTGGTAGAATTCATGAGCAGGCTCGTTACCTACGGAATATTGCTATGCTGTGCGCCCGGGAGAAGTCCCATCGGATGCGGGTATTGACTATGTTTGGCGTGTTCAATTATCTGACAGGGCAGAACAGCCTCTAAACAAGACGTACTGCTGTGTACAAGGCCGAAAGAGCAATTGTAATGCAGTTGTGGTGTGATTTGTCATCAAGGTACATGTACCTCGATCGAAGAGAACCTTCTTGAAGGCTTGCCTTTCCTGAAAAGTCAGTGTACGGTTGGGATGTTGACCACAGCAGGTTTTGTATTCTGTTTTGTATCACCTAAGGGTGTGTTAACAGTAACAGTTGATTCGTTGAAAATGTACTAACTTTATTCTTGAGAGCAACTTTGCAAAATCACCTGGACTGTGCCTCTACGTCTTCTACCTTCTAGCCAGCTGCCGCCAACCTGCAGCTCTTTCTTTTGTTTTGTATCACCTTTTGTTTGATATCACCTAAGGCTGACAGTTGTGACAGAGGTGTGTTAACAGTAACAGTTGTTTCGTTGAAAATGTGCTAACTTTATCTTGAGAGCAACTTTGCAAAATCACCTGGACTGTGCCTCTACGTCTTCTACCTTCCAGCCAGCTGCCGCCAATCTTCAGCTCTTTCTTTTGTTTTGTATCACCTTCTGTTTTGTATCACCTTAGGCTGACAGTTGTGACTGAGGTGTGTTAACAGTAACAGTTAATTCGTTGAAAATGTACTAACTTTATTCTTGAGAGCAACTTTGCAAAATCACCTGGATTGTGCCTCTACGTCTTCTTCTACCTTCCAGCCAGCTGCCGCCAACCTGCAGGATCTGTTACCTTTCATTATCCCGGGCGTCTGTTTCCCTCACGGCGTATCAGGTCGGTATCTGTTCTGTACGCATCCCAGCCTGCTGATTGATGAACTTGTCAGCTTGCCCACTGGTTGGTATTTGCTACGCCGTGTAATACAGGTTGGTCTGTATCTTATCAATGTCTGACTGTAATGTAATGTAAGGCAACCTGTTTGAGAGTTGGCTTGACAGTGTGGGGAAATAAGCATGTATTGTTGCTAGAGATGCTGAGATGCATTGTCATTATGAAATGTATATGTTTTTCTTTCTTTGATTGTACTTTGTGGCTTCCAATACATCACGTCACATTTGGCCGCATGTTTTAAAGGCATCCAGTGCAGTTTTTAGGGCTTGAAAACCCGATTTTTCAAAGCCAATATTCTAGTCATTCATCTACATACTGAGTTAATTTTTTTAAACCACACTATCCCAGTGTATATATTGCCCACAAAAAAAAAAAAA